TGAAGAAATGCTTGCATTTATATTTTCCCATTTGGATGGTTGTCTCTTTACCTTGTTGATGATTTTTTTTGCTGAGCAGAAGCTTTTTAGTTTGATGCAGTCCCATTCATTTATTTTTGCTTTTACTTCTCTTGCCTTTGAGGTTAAATTCATAAAATCCTCTTTAAGTCCAAGGTTCTTGAGTTTAGTTCCTATGTTTTCTTCTATGCATTTCATTGATTCTGGTCTTATATCCAGGTCCTTAATCCATTTTGAGTTAATTTTAGTGTGTGGTGATAGACAACAGTCTAGTTTCATTCTGTTGCAGGTGGGAGAATTTTTAATAGAATTGTTTTTACGGACCATATTAGCTTCACACGGCCCTCATTAAGGAGATATATTGTTCAATATTTGACTTGTTTTATAATATAAGTCTGTATTACAAAGTCTCATTCAGCTACATAAAAATTGATATGATATTTTTCACTTTTACGTATCATTTCTTATTCCCGAAGAATAGTGTATTTTGACATTTCTATAGTGATTTCAAATTTTATCACTTGGAATAATGGATACACTGAAAATAAACCATTTTATTTCTCATGTGGGACAAGAATAAAGGAAAAGACTCCAGAAATTTCTTTAGTTATTCTTTTCTTGGTGTAGTTCTACAAAGACTGAGGGATAAAGAGAATAAGTTAAATAAAGAAGGTGATAACACTATATTAACTTGTGCATTTTAAATTTGAGAGTAATACAGAAGTGACAAACTTATCTGGCTCAAGAAATAAAAACATATTCAAATAGGGGATCTCGGATCATTATAACAAATTTGGTCCTGTACTATTAGGAAATTACTTCTCTGAAATGAGATGTAGAGAAAATCTGTTGCAGGTCTTCTAGCTAACCTGCAGAAAAAAGGATCAAGAAATAAACATGCACAGAAATTATTGGCCTCCACTTCTTAAACCAGCCTTCAAAAATAAGCCCAGTTGAGGATTAGAGCAGGAAGTTACCAAATACAATTTCATAAATTTTTTTTTGGTAAATTTCTGTGTAATTACTGAAATATTGGCAAATGCAATGATATGATGTCTGTGATTTGATTCAGTAAAGGGGGATGGAAGGAGAAAGAAGTGGTTGGGGATATGAATGATACAAGATTGGCCATTAGCTGTTAATAGTTGAAGCTAGATGATAGTTATATGGGATTCATTAAAGGTTTTTCTCTATTATTTCAAATATTAGAAATTATTCATAATAAAAAAATTCTGTGCAGCACACTTTGCCTCACTGATATTTGAAGAAGTGTGAATATTAAGATTCACTGTTATTATACTGAAGGAACGAATGAATAAATAAGAAATGATTATAAATTACATTAGAAAACGTTGGCTAGTTTTTTTCTTTAAAGAATTTTAGTAGCCTAACTGTAAAAACAATGGGATATTAGGATGAGCAACCTGGAGACTGCAACCCCACCCTCAGTTTGGAAGATTCACAAGGACTCAAGGGACTCAGCATAGGGTATATTCACAGCCATGAGGTATTATTACAATGAGAGGATAAAGAGCAAAATCAGCAAAGGGAAAAGGCATATGGGGCAAAGTCCAGAGGAAGCCAAATGTAAGCTTCCAAGAATCCTCTCCCAGTGGAGTTACACAGGATGTGCTTCATTCCCACAGCAGTGTTGTGACAATGCGTGTGAAATGTCATCTACCAGAGAAGCTCATTTGAGACTCAGTGCCCAGGGTTTTTACCAGGGGCTGTTCACATAGGCAACTTATGCCTAGCATGTACCAAAATTCTAGACCCTCCAGATGGAAAGAGGTGTTTGGCATAAAACACACACTTTGTACAAATAGATTAGGCACAGCGAGCCATTCATATCAGGGCATGAGGGAAACCCTCCCACAATCCAAGTTCCCAGATGCTAGTAGGGGCAGCCTGGTTAGCAGGTCTTTCTAAGGACAGCAGCCCCAACCTGCCGTGTGAACTCTTTTCTGGACAAGAACTATGAAAACAATGTGTCTTTTGGAGACCAGGGATTGGACTGTGCATGGTTTGATGATTTTGTTATGTTATATAATGTAGTTTTATTTCCTCTCCTTCTCTGAAATATAAAATGCTTTATTTCTTAGCTACTGAAACATAAAGACAGAATCACAACTTTTAGAGAGTTAATTGCTAATGAAAAAGCATTTCAAGATCAGGTTATTGAGGTGAGTTTAACATTTACTATGTGCTGTTTTTGACATACAAAAAATACAATTTCAAATATTTATAGTCTTTTGGTAAATTTGTTGAAATCCTTCTAGCTCTAAGTTCTATACTTCTATTATTCTAGCCACTGAAGATCTCTTTGATTGTTTAACTAATACAGTGTTTATTGTCAAATGTTCCAAGGAGTATGAAAGTATTAGAAATGAGCGCAGATGTATTTAATCTCAGGTTACGGACATAGATTCAGATGAAGCCAAGAATGTAAGAGATGTACCTATCTTCTTGGGAGCCAAACTGGATAAGTACCACAGTCTAAATAAAGAGCTTGATATATTGGTTTGAAAGACCTTTTGTTGCTTTGCTATCGTTTTTATACATAACACCAATTTTATTAACAAGTTTAAGAAATTATTAGCCTATGAAAATTTGCTCATTAAAATGGTCACACACTGGCATTGTGGCAGTATTTTTCACCCACAAAGTATAGAATTGGAGTTTGCATTTTCAGGTTTTGAAATTTTATGTATTGTCCTTCTAACTTCTATTTAGACTGATCAGATTAATTTCTTTTAAAACATAGAAATAAAAAAATGCACAATTTTTCATGGTGAATGAAGCATATTTATATTGTTGCATATGCTACCACCAAGTTGTTTACAACTACCATGATTAAGGGATGCTTTTGGAAACAGCACTCATAATTTACTATAGATGACATCTAAAGATAAAGGCATCATCACAGAAAAGAAGTGGTAATTATGCGACTTAATGAAGATGTGAGCTAATATGAAGGTGGTGATCATTTTGCACTATATAGTGTATCAAATCAACGTGTCGTATATTTTAAACTTACACAGTGTTATATGTCAATTATATCTCAATAAAGCTGAACAAAATTAAGGCAGATAAAACAGGAAAATATGTTAGAAGAAAATGAAAATATGATCTTGGTATCCAGATAGTTACAGAGTTACAATTCAATTGTATACTACTATAATAAAAAGGTGATTAACATAATTTATTTTTAATAACAGTTAATTAAACAAATCTATCATATTTCTAAAATACTAAAAATCAGCATTCTGTACTAAATTTATAACACACCCATTCATCTTTATATATCATAAAAGCCATATTTTTACATTGTATAAATTTTTGAAAACAAAGACAAAAACAAAGACAATAAGAAAGGAGTGATCAGGATGTTTCAACGGTGCTTCAAAGCTTTATCCATGAAATTTTTTTTTATCATGGTGAAATTGGTTAATGAAAACCAGTAAGTTTCAAGTGTACAATTCAACAGTAAGTTTTATATATATTGCATTGTATGTTCACCACCCATAGTTAGATTTCTTTCTGTCACCACATATTTGACCTCTTTTATCCCATCTACCTCCCCTTTCCTCCCCCATCCTCTGGTAACCACTAGTCTATTGTCCATGTCCATTAGTCTCTGTTTGTTTATCATGTTTGTTTGTTGCTTTTAAGTTTATATCCCACATATGAGTAATATTGTGTGGTTTTCAACTTTTTCTGTCTGGCTTTTTTCACTTGGCATGATTATCTCAAGGTCCATATATGTTGTCGCAAATGGCAGTATTTCATCTCTTCTTATAGCTGAGTAATATTGCATTTTATATGTGTATCACATTTTCTTTATCCAATCCTCTATCATAGGACACTTTGGTAAAAAGGTTCTGCACAGCAAAAGAAACCATCAACAAGGTAAAGAGACAACCATCTCAATGGGAAAATATATTTTCAAGCAACGCCTCTGATAAGGGCCTAATATCCAAAATATACAAAGAGCTCATACGACTCAATAACAACAACAAAAAAACAAACGATCCAATCAAAAAATGAACAGAAGACCTAAACAGACACTTCTCTCAAGAAGACATACAAATGGCCAACAAACATATGAAAAGATGTTCAACATTGCTAGCTATTAGGAAAATGCAAATCAAAACCACAATGAGATTCCATCTCACACCTGTCAGAATAGCTATAATCAACAGAACAAGTAATAACAAATGTTGGAGAGAATGTAGAGAAAAAGGAACCCTCATACATAGCTGGTGGAACTGCAAATTGGTACAGCCACTATGGAAAACAGTATGAAGCCTCCTAAAAAAAAAACTAAGAATTGATCTACCGTATGATTCAGCAATCCCTCTACTGGAGATTTACCCCAAAGACTTGAAAACATATCCAAAAAGATATTTGCACATTGATGTTCATAGCAGCATTATTCACAGTGGCCAGGACATGGAAGCAACCCATTCATCTTTAAAAGAAGAAAAATTCCCTTGCTGTGAGGGCTTAAAGGTTTCTTCTTTTCTAATTCATTAATTTTTTTCATTAAATAAGTAATTATTGACTTCCCACAAAGTGTTAAGAAGTACTAGTCACTATGGAGATAGAAAACTAAATCAAACATAGTCCCTCCTTTTAAGGAATCTAGAAAAGAAGATAAAATACATAAGTACCTATTTACAGGGAGTAAAGGAAAAGTTTCTTAAAGAGAAATACAGTGACTCACATCTAAGAGAGGAGAGATGTTCGTTGAATGACGAGTTCAGGAGAGGAAGAGATGACATCCATGTGGAAGACTTAGTGAAGGGGATGCAAGTTGGGCCTTGAAGACTAGTAAAATTTGAGCATAGGGATATCAGAGGAGAGCACTCAATAAATTCTGTAACTCATTAGCAGTTTCTATGCTTCAGGCATAAAAGATAATAAGAATGGACCCTAATCTTTCCAACATTGGGAAGCTGGAATGAGAAAAAGGACACAAATGGAAGCATGCCAGACACACTATGTCACCTTTAAAAACATGTTGCAGTCTTTCTTGTACAAACTGTGTCTCAGAGAAACCAAATAATTGATGAGGGAGAGTTCTTCATTGAAGAGTGTAAGCTACTAAAAACAAAAGAAAAGATACATTTAGAAAATTATATTTTGCATCCCTGAATAAAATAAGGAATCTAGGCAATTATAATGACTACTAAAACCTTTAAGTTCAAGACTGATAAAGAACTTTTAGTGAATAAGTCAGATTGACAAACACCTAAGCCCACTGATCAATCTCAGCCCTGCTAGAGGTGAGACAAGCAGACCTGTGCACTCTGATGTGATCCAGGAGGACATGCACAGCATCATCTATGAAGTATTCTCACCAAAACAACTGGACCTGAAAGCAAGCTTCTAAACCTAACTACCAGTTGACAGTGGATAAAGAAACATTAAATGTCACCATGAGAACAAATCCAGAATGTGAAAATTTCTAATCAATTAACAATTGATTAGAAATTAACAATTAGAAGAGGCAGGGAGAGAAGAGGAATAGCTGTTATAGACTAAAAGAAATTAGAAACTTCAGAGACAAATCAACCAAATACAGTGTGTGAAAATTGTGTAGATTCTGACTCAAACAAACTCACTATGAAAAGATGTTTGTGAGATAACAGAACGCAATCTGGGTATTAGATAATATTAAGAAATTACTAATTTTAATAGATATGATAGTGGTATCATTGTGTATTTAAAAGCCCTTATCTGTTAATGATACACATTTTAAAGTATTTATGAGTGAATTAATATGATGACTAGGTTTGCTTTAAAACACTCCAGGAAAATAAAAAGATGGCAGAATGAGAGTGTGTGTTTGTGGGTGTGTGTTTGGGGTCGGGGGTGCAGTTGGAGACAGATGCAAAAATAATGGAAAAGTGTTGATAATTGTTGAAATGATGGTAGGTTCATTATACTGCTCTCTCTAGTTTTGTATGTGTTTGAAATTTTCCAAAATTAAAAGGTTTTGTTCCTGTTCTTTGTTTTTGAAATGTAGAAGTGTGCTCCAGGAAGCTCACTCCTCACTCTAAGAAACTCTAGGCCAGCAATACCTGGTCTGCTGGAGTTAAATTTGATGGCTCAAACATCCTTTGATTCTTTATCATGTGGAAACTTCCTATTGGTTCTTCTTCACAATTCTGATTCTGTTGTCCACTCCACTCACTTTCTGATCTCTTCCATCCTGAGACAGGGTCCTTGACTCAACTTTGCCTTCTGACTAGTTCTACCATTTTGGGTGTTTAACTATTGAGTGCAAAATGTCTCCTAGTCATTGAAGCCCTTGATAAGGAACATCAAATTCCAGGGATTTTTCAGAGAAAAAAGACAATAGTCCAGTTAACAGTACTGATGTTCAGGGTTTAAGTTGGGCTTATTGTAATGACCCCTCAAGTTGCTCCTAAATCTGATCTTTAGTAAAATAGAAACCTTTTTATGAAAATAAGGTATTTCTTATCCAGTATTATAGAGGAAATCCTTTAGCCATTATTACAGAATAGTCAAAGATCAAACACTTGGAACTATCCTAAAACATAACACTTCACTATAGAACTTTACGTATTACATAAAACATTTGCTAATTTATTATTTTGGTAGCCTCTTAAGTTAGAAGTTTGTTAACTTGTAAAGAAAATACTCAAGAGGTAGCATTTAAAAATATTCATCTCCTATAGTCATAAAAATAAGAAAAGAATATTTTGCAAAGTAGAAAATTACTAGTGTAGGAAAAATTTCCCAACTGAGCCAAAAGAAAACAATTACAACCCAGTGTCTCATGGGCCCTCTGAACTATGAGAGAACCCACCCATTTCTGGATTTGGGCACAGTATTACCTGAATACACTTTAGAGTTTCTGGGCCTCTCTGCCACTGACTGACCTCCTAAGGAAGAGTCTGAGTTCACTAGAAGTCAGATCATACAGGTGGGAGGGCTGAACCTTAGTTCCTCAGTTTCCACAGGAAGATGGCAATCTTACCATCTGTTTCCAGCATTCTTCTCATTCTCTGATCCTATTCCTCACCTTCTTGGTTTTGATTTCACTAAATCCTATCCTAATTCCAGTGCTAAAAACAGTATTCACACTATAGACCCTTGTTGAAGAATATAACATCAATCTAGCTGCTAACCAACTCTTAGCAAGAGCTTGTTTAAGAACTCTTGAATCTCTGAAGGGTTATCTGTGCAGTCCTTTCATCTCTCTAGTAGTAACCCAAAATAAAAAAGATTACATTTTACATCTTGATCAAATGCATATATGCCCCCACACAGAAGAAACACTGCTTTTATTATTCTGTTCTATTTCATTTTTTTGTGTTGGTCATAAATTCATTTCACTACTTAATAAAGAGTCAAATTAGATGATGTTTATTATCAGAAAGCTTCTACTTGGAACATACTGTCTTGACTCTCATAGAATTCTTTTACTGAGTTATTTTGGTGTTATGCCCTCAACCATCCCAAAAAACATCTTTCTCCATTTGCTACAG